AATGTTTATGATTGACTCACGTTTCATCCCAAAAAAAAACAGAACTGAGCTTCACACAGAAAAAAAAAAAAGGACAAAGCTGCAAAGTCCAAACTACTGGGTTCATTAAAGCGGGAAGTTGAGGACAGGTTGACTTAGGGAAGACGGATGAATGTGTAAATTTATGAGACAGCCCATCTGTAGCCTGAAGCTTAGGGCTAAACGGTTAATTACGGTTTATGGACTGCAGCTAGAATGTGCTCTTAAGAGACAGCGTAAATAAAACATCATTACTAGGGGGGCAGGGAGACGAGGGGGGGGGTAGAGAACTGGCCCCAATAGAAGCAAAATTGACATTTTTGTGCCTCTGAGAACCTGTTGCTTTGCGACAAAGCTTCTTTTAATGCGACCCCGTCCGGCACCCGTGAAAGGCCTCAGAGGAGCCGAGGGTGCGAGCTGTCCCATTGCACCGTTTGCCAAATATAACAGAGCAAACAGAGGTTTTCTCACAGTAAACAGGCAGCGGAGGGAAAGAGATATCTCAGCAGAACACTGCGAGGGAGAGGGGTAAAAAATATTTCTAACTATACAGAACTCTCAGAGGCGTTCGTCAAATTGAACCTAAATGTTGCTTGCGAGTTATTTATGGAGCAACATCTGAATACTTTTGCATAATATCTTCCACATATGTTTTGCATAGGGTTCAGACATGCAACGTACACCAACACTCGAGCAGTGCATCTTTTTGAGCGACACATCTGAGCCTGTGGTGAGATTTACTTTTTGTGATTCAACAACAATGGTGTTTGTTTATTTCCTGCATTGTTGAAAATCCCCATTTAGCATCTGTCAATGCTTCAGCGACTGTTTCCTATTTTAGGGTGACAGAGAAATACCAACATAATAATCACAACCAGCGTGAGAGAGGGAAAACGTGCTCGTAAAACGGCTCTGTAATGTTCATGCTTGGCTCGTATAAATATGAGATATGACGGCGGAAGAGTGTTTAGGAGTAATCGCATACGATCACGCACACTAGTTATGATAAAATTTGCTTTGTGAGAGCGTGGTGTGCTAACCAGGGTCCTGAGAGAAACAGAGAGAATAAACATCATTAAAAAGTGGATCCTGCCAAGCTGAGGCACTAATCATCCAACCCACACCACCTTTTTTTAAACCCCCTCCACCGCCATTACTCACCAGAGCTATTTACCCAAACATTCAGATCCAGCAATTGTTCAAGGGTTTACCAGAGAGTGGAAAAGAGAAAACAGGCGATAGGGGGAAAAAAATGAGTTTTTTAAGAGCTGATCCAGAATGTTACTGCTCTGTTAAAGCTCATTTGAGGAACCTGATATTTTATTTGGCCGAGTTCTGTGTTGCCACTAGAAACAAACTCCAGAATCGAACCCCGTAAAATGTTTACTGTGGCGAGCGTTGTTCAGCAATGCAGCAAACACAATTTAACACAGCGTTATCAGTGCTCATGCAGGTCTTCTATTCTGCTAATATGACAGAGGTGGATTGGTTTTGTGCAGCTGCAGGCTCATGATCATTATTCAGTCAAAGCTAAAACCCAACAAGACTGGAGGGTTTACACTCCAGATTCATGGGAGCCATTTAAGACAATAAAAGATCCTGCTTTTTTAAACAGGGACGGTCATTAAAATTCTTCATCTGCTTAGCGTCCGTTTAGCCTCGAACACTTCCCCTCACCCACCGTCCAAAAGGGCCGTACAAATACAGCGAGGCACTTTGCAGAGACATGCTGCAGGGATGTGCGAGACGTGGGATTTCTGCGCGACCGTGTCCGCTATAATAGAGATGGGCCGAGGGATTTACTGTGCCTTCTGCTTTAATAAATGTGACCAAACGCGGTGCATGTCAATGCGCCCGGAGGATGCTCTCACCACCACACGCAGACTCGCAGAAACTCGGAGGGAACACACGTACTACACAAAAGAAGAAGTGTTCACACCACCTGACATGTTTGTGTGTTAACTATCATTCATTTAATCAGACTTTCCATCAGTTTTGGCCATTTCAACTTTACCATCACCCCCCGTCTTCTCAAACTGAGCTTAACTACTTTAATTACACTCTAATTTGTCTTGTAAAATAGTTAGAAAAACACATTGTAACCCAGGGAAATTAAAAAAACATGAAATTAGGGAATAAGATTCTTAAAACAAAACATAACATTAATATCAAAATACCAAAATTTAAATACAACAAACATCCAACTTTCTTATCGACAACTCAAAACTGTTTTGACCCGAATTGACTTCTACACATGAGGACAGCAGAACAAAAAAAGAGCTTCTGGCTATTTTCTCCTTCAGAAAACAATTTAATCAGTAAAAGATGGACTCAAGTCTCTCCGTGTAATGTAAAGTTGGTAAAGACTGAAGTGTAGATAACGGAAATGATGCTGACAAACATTTTTTAACACTTTGAAAAGATTTATCAGCTGCAAATACTCCACAGCTGAGCAGCTGTAACGTGTACAACATTATGTTTCCAACAACCACGGATGTCTGCTTAAAGTCATTCCAGCAACAAGGCCTGGCAAAAGTATTTTATTGTGCGACTCTGTTGGAGATCTCATTGTTTTACATTCTTCCAGGCAGGCATAACTTGGATGTTGCTAAGCAGTGGCTTAAAAATCTGATTTGCCCGAAGCTGATCCAGATGTTTGGCTGAACAGCGAGATCAGTCTGGGACCCTGCAGACCCTCATGTATCCTCCTCTATCTGCACAACCGGTGAACTCAAGACAAGCTGCAAACAACTTTCCATAAACAGAGAAAAACAAAAATATCCCAAGTTTCCTCTCAAGAAGACAGCTTGTAATATAATAAAATAAAATACCTTTACGCAGCTTGTATGGACGCCACATTTTCAAATAAAGACAGACGTTTCTGCTTCACGAGCCAGGACGAGATCCAACACCCTTTTGTTTCCAGCTGTCTCAGTCAGCAAGACACGGAGGGTCCTGAAGCCCCCTGGCTGGTTTACATGAACCTGTTTAAATCGAACTTAAAATACAATCTACAGAAGCTAAAACATCGAGAGGAGAAAGTCAAGGCCTCCGTCTTCTACCTCAGCACATAGTCAGCTCATTATGACGTCATTTCGCTTTATAACATGTGGTGGGTGGTGGCGTCAGGGGATTGTTATTTGTGAGATCGTGTTCCCATCGAGCCAAAATACAAAACTATAATAATAACAACATTCTCTATATTTATAAATTATTTGGTTAATGTTTATAGATCAACATTTTTGACTACATTTTTGAACTTTTATTATTATGGTTTATTATCTTACACAGGCTTTCAGCTCAGGCTGTGCAGAGTTTAGTGATTTGCAGCATTTTAAGATGCTGACATCACAGTTGGTGAAACAAAGGCTCCATCACGTGGATCCTTCTCTGGCCAACCTCGACGAGAAGCTTGAGTGTCACGCTTCAACTCAACCTCTGAAGGAGTCGGCCCCTGGATCGGGTCACAGCTACAGTCTCACCACTCACACACCCTAAACGCCAGGCTGTGATTCACTCATGTAAACATTAAAAACGAAGCTGAGGGTTTCTCTGGATGATAAATCCTCTTTCTGGGTTTCACGTGTGTTTTTGGGGATAGAAGCAGCACAGGGAGGATAAAGGCAGACTTTAACATGTAGAGATGAATGTCTGTGGTTGAAGTCGGGTCATGGTAGACAGCAGACTTGGAGACATGTCTACACCATCCACCTTCAGCATTTCCTGCCAGATAGGGCCTGGGAGAACCATTTCCCCCCATCGTCCCAGCCGAGGCCTCAAAAATGTGAGAAAATGCTGCTGGGTAATTTGGCCCGTACGATGATTATGGGGTTTTCGATATTTTGATATTCGACCCCAAATCCCTCTCTATGCCTCTCACCAACATTGTACTGAAACGTCCTGTCAAAATATTTTGGAATTGTTGTCAGAGATCTAAATATGGACTCCTTGTGAAGCACACAAAACGGGATCAAATCCTAATTAGTATGTTGGGTAACTTTGTCCATGTGGCACAGACCTCTAAACAGCATATGAGGCAAGAAAACCTTAAACAAAATTTGCTGAAAAAATATACAACATTTTTTGTGACTTTTATCATCCGCTGCACACTTTTTTGATTTTTCTCCTGAAAATACATTTCTCCCACAAAAATGAAAATTATTCAAACACAGCTCTCGGATAAAACGCTCAGAAAAGGAAGGTAACATTTTTCAAAAACAGGACGCTACACGCAACATCATCCCAATTCGCACCAAAGCTTGTGCACGGTCAAAAATACCCGGCGTTATGAACGGTCACATGTCCGGACCAGGAATGAAACAGAACAACCCTCAGACCATGACGGCCGTGCCAGAGAAGCTTGGGGGAACATATACTTAACTGGCACACCATGTGATTTGGCTGCGACGGGGATACGCATGTACTCCTTTAACTGCACATTAACTGGCCTCTATGCAATAACAAGTTAACCTTTTATCTGGCTATAACAAGCTCTACCGCCGTATCCAAATAAACAGAGGATGCTATTCAATCGAACCCACTGAAAGGACTTCTGGGGAATAAGTTGAAAAACACCCACTATTTTGCAAGCTAAAAACTCCTGAATGTTTGGGTTATCATGCCACACAAAAAGAGCGCTGCGCTACACTATGAAATCAAAATGCTGTTTGTTGACATTGCTGTTAGTTTATGAAAATGTGCCTTTTGCAGCTTGGTTTTGCAGCCTGATTACTAAATATTTTTCTAGCCCTGCTGGAATTCAACAAAGCCCATGAAAGGGCAGATCACACAGTGCTGAGTCCGCACCAGAAACACCAGATCGTGGATGATAAGTTGAATGTGGTACCAGTTCAGACATAAACAAACGATTCGGGAACGCTATAAACAGAAACATGACACTGAAGAGCCAAGTGTCTTTTCCTGAAATCATCTTTTTACTTTTCATGATGTGACCAGCTCCCAAACTTCGGCTGCGGTCGTACCTGAGTCGGTGGCTGTGATCAGCAGGACGTATTTCCCCTGAGCCTCGCGGTCCAGAGTCTGCATCAGGCTCAGCTGGCCGCTGGACGAGAGGCTGAACGCACCCTCATCGTTTCCACCGGTCAGCATGTAGCTCAGCTGACTGTTGGCACCTTGGTCGTCATCTCTGGCAACAACCTGGAAATTAAAGAAATGGAGATCATGAGAAAGTTTGTTTAGAAGAAATCAAGGGAGTTAGTACATTATTTTAAAGTCCTGGGCTTGAATACAAATATGAGCTTTTAATTTCCTGCTCATTTTTGTGTCTGGTGCAAACAGTTTTTATTTAAATCTTACATCTTTAGTTTCTTGTAAGTCCTTAATGTCGGGCTAATTTGAACCTTTTCATGCAGTGCATCATTTTCTAGATGCAGAATATTTAAAGTAAAATCTTCATCTGTGAAGTACAAAAGTAAAAATACATTGAAAGTGAGATAAGTACAAGTATATAATTAACGTACTTAGATCACTTTACATCGCTGGACACAAAACTGTGTCTTGAAGCCTAACGAGGGGTGTCTCCGATAATTACCACGACCACATACATATAAAAGATGGCTGTGAGAAACCCAGTACAACCAGCACCTTCATTTAGTGTTTCCACTGGAGCAGCAGAGGTTTAATCACCATCACGGTGCTCAGCTGCACCATGAAGGTAATTGTTGAGGGGAGGCAGATCATTACTTATTCACTTTGTCTAATCAGACTTTCCCAGGGAATCCACAAAAAAAAGAAAGAGTCCAAAAAGCATCCTCTGCCCTTTAGGCTGCTCAAAGCACAGACGTTTATTCAGGAATCAAACTCTTAGCGAGTCTAATTCTTCACTAAACTACTCACTGGTTTTCCCAGAATGCACTCTGGGCTCCTGCCGTGCGGGCCGCAGACAGGCAGATCCAGGTTAGTGTACAGATGTGAGCTCTTGTGTGGCAAAACCTACCATAACAGCACCCCCCCCCCCTTCTCCCCTCACATTACTGTTCCCTCATTTCCTCACAAGGTAAGAAAATGAAACGGCTGCGTCACTGGAAATCAGTGCTTTCCTTTCATTTTTTAAACCATTCATGCCTCATTTAGTCATCAAGGTGGTCAGAAGTTTAATTTTCCTTGTCGAGTTTCATATTTCGGTGAAACCCTATCAAGCCTAAATCGTGCAGAGCGGCTTTCAGCAGATAATTATTTCTTTATCATTTCAGGCAGGTATCTGTTATGACATTTAGCAAAATAAGACCACCGGGCAAAGTGGTTTAGCGCGACGGCACCGCTGCTCACATACCTGCAGTTATTACGTTAGTATTCCAATAAAGTTGGTTAAGGCATTACCCTGTTTGAGGTCTCAGGACTGTCATTCAAAACAATGGCGCTCTCTTCGCTCAGCAGAGCCTGTCTGTGAATGTTAACGACATCCGAACCGCTTGAGTTTCATTGAATAGAAAACAAACACACTGACCTGCAGAATGTTTTTCGGCAGGCTCTCCAGGTTCTCCTGCACATTAACTGAGTAAGGCGAGAGCTCAAACACAGGTGAGCAGTCGTTGACGTCCAGCAGCACTATGTTGACAGTCGCCCGGTCCACCCTGGGGCTGCTGCCGCGGTCTGCAGCTTGCACCACGAGCGAATACGAAGAACGTGCTTCGCGGTCCAGCAGCTTGGCCACTGAAATCACCCCGGTGACTGAATCAATCCTGAAATCGGAGTTGGCGTTGCCTGCCGAGAATGAAAATCGAATCTGGCCGTTGGTGCCCTCGTCAGCATCGCTAGCGAACACCTGGATGACATCGGTCCCCGTCAGGGTGTTCTCCTCGATCTCAATGTCGTAGATATTCTGTGAGAAGCTTGGCGTGTTGTCGTTGACGTCCAGAACCACCATGGTCACATCCATGGTGGAAGACAGAGACGGTTCTCCTTTATCTGTGGCCACAACTGTGAGGGTGTAGTTGGAAAGCTCCTCCCGGTCGAGTTCCCCCACCAACCTGACGTCTCCATCCACTGTACCGATGCTGAACTTGTTACCGTACGGTCCCCTGAGGGAGTACTCAACGTAGCTGTTGGGCCCGCTGTCAGCGTCCGTCGCCTGGGCAGTAAACACCACCGTGTCCACAGGCGTGTTCTCCTGGATGTAGGTCATCTTCTGGGAGGTGAAGGTCGGCGGGCAGTCGTTGACGTCCAGCAGGATGATGGACACCTGAGCCGTGCTGGTGAAGCGGGCCATGGGAGGTGGAGCCAGGTCGTTGACGGTGATCACCAGGTTGTAGAAGGATTGTGTTTCTCGGTCCAGGGCCCTCTTGGTTTGGAGGACTCCTTCCTTGGTGATGACGAAGTGACTCTGGGAATCGCCAGAGGCAATTTTGTAGAGGAGCTGGGCGTTTGGGCCTAAAACACAGAGACACACATTCCCAAGAGTGAATCAGAGGAGAATGATAACGGTGACATTTCAGAGTTATATTTAATTTACAGTGACCTTTTAGACCTAAACTAGGTTAATACACAAGTTGATTAACTTCCTATGCTTTAAATTTAGAGCTTCAGCAACCAAAATCATCTGATAAATAAATGACAATTAGAGTGCGATCATTATTGATTCTTTTTACTTTGCAGGGATTTTACTCTCTGTGAAATTAAATGAAGGTTTCTGATTCCAGTCATTTGTGTCACTTTTCTCAGACTGAAGGATTAACCAACATTTAAGTTGAGTAAAATGTGAAGAATTTGCATTTGAGCAGATGTTGCATCTTCTATTTTTGTACATTTAGGCTGAGTTATGATGTTTTCCTACTATTTGTAATGACCTTGCATTAATAAAACAAAACAACTGATAAGTGGATCGTATAATGGAGGTCAAGTGCTGATATCCTTGACTGGAGTCCATTGTTCCAGATGCAATTGTTAAATTTGCTGTGTCTGTCTGAATCAGGCACCTATGAGTGTTATCAACATCCATTTCCACAAATTGTACGAGTGCAGCAGCTGTAGCTCTGGCTGCCGCTCTTGTCCTCCGAGTGGACGATTCATTCATGCAGCGTGACAGATCGCTATCGAACCAGAAACACCACAGAGAACCACTTCCTGAACTAGATAGTGCCATTGTGCTGCCGTGGAAAATCCCTCACGACTGAAACATTCATTTAAACGACATAACTGCAGTTTGACGGTGTTGAAGGGACGCAGTAAACTATCTAACCTTGAAATCTGGCCTAATCCGTACCACTCCGCTGGAAGTGGGGGGGTTAAAATGAGCTTAAATTGAGCGTCTGTAATTCAACTCAACGGGGTATTCATGTGGAAAGCGCCGGCACCTTCCCACACTCCAGCGTGTATTTACAGTACACAAGTAATCCCTTATCAAAAGCCAGAGTGCTGCTTCCAACTGAGTTTAGGCTACATCGTCTAGAGACAGAGTCTGGGGTCGAGGGTCAGGGCTTAGGAAGTGCTAACAATGGCGGTGTTTTATTTTGACGGTGGAAAGCGGCGGCTATATATCTGAGAGGATGACGCGGTCAGATTATGTGGACGGTGGAGGAAGAAGCCAGACTCGGGTTGAGAACCAGGCAGTGTATTTCCCAGGAATGTAGGTCAATATAACCACATTAGGCCCGGGTGAGGCGGTAATTACAGCAGGGGAGAGAAGCGGTGACCGTTCAGATACCGCACGGCACTTGACGAACGCAAAGCCCACCACCTGAAACGTAGAAATAACTCCAGCCACTTAATAACACGCTGAGGATGCTTGTTTTTCATCAAATCATTCATGCGTAGCGCAACATAAAAATGAAAAATAAAATGTAGGTTTAAGAGCTGCTGTGTAACCGACTCTCATAACAAAATGACAGGCCTACATTAAATGGATCTTCTATGGTTCACTCACACTTGATTTATTCACTTTAAAAGTACATTAGTGCTTCACTTTCTCACAGAAAGGTTTTCCTTAAATAAACCGACATCTCTGGAACACTTGACCAGGATTTAAATAGAATTAACTGGGATATAAATACAATTTAAAACGTGACGTGTATCCTTTGCCTTAATGCAGCTTTATCTGGATTTTCCACAACGGCAACATGCTTCTAAATATGGAGTGCTGTCAAAGATATGTCCAGTCAGTCTCCTTACAGCTGAGAATATGGAGTCAAATCAGTGCCAAAATATATCTGACATCACGGTCACAGTCTGCAGTTTTATTTAATTTTTTTGTTTTCATCTGCAAATGTTTTTCTGTTAGTTCTACTTATGGGATTGCCACGAAACTTGGTGGAAGGATGCATTATGGGTCAGGAAAGAACCCATGTAATTTCGGTGCGGATCTGCAGCCGGATCCAAGAATTTGGAACATTGCAAGACTTGGCTTTTTTTTTTTATGATGTTTTCCCCAATTTTCCCAGGAATGCTTCATGGATCATGATTTTAAAAAAGCTGCCATGTTTAGAGGAATAATAATCCGCATTATCAGACCATATGTTTACATGTACGTACCATCATCAGCATCAGTGGCCCCGACAGTGATGATACTGGATCCAGGCGGCAGACTCTCAGATACAGACGTGCTGTACGCCGTGGTGTTGAAGATGGGTGGGTTGTCGTTCACGTCCAGCACGTTGAAATACACTCTGACCGTGCTGGCCTGCCCGCCGCCATCTTGAGCCCTCGCTGTCAGAATGTAGTACTGCTGCACCTCGTAGTCTAGAGAACGCGTCACGTTGAAGACTCCCGTCACCGGGTTCAGGAGGAACGTCTCGTCTTCGTCGTCTTCCTCCAGTGAGTAGGTGACCTCTCCGTTCACTCCTGAGTCAGAGTCGCTGGCCAGGATCGCCGCCACGATGGAGCCTGTGCGAGTCAGACGAGTTGTGACACGGAGGCGAGAAGTTAGATTTTTCCTCCAAATCGGACAAATTACTTTAATATCTGCAGGAGGTTAATACGGCTCTTTATTAAAACCAGACACTCAGTGATCATGTTGCCAATTGCTAAAATAACTGGATGTTTTTGCGTTGATGATATCACAGATTAAACAGCCAATGACAGAATGATTTATTTGTACTTTCTCAGTTTGATTTGCTGCATAATGATCAAACTCTTCTGTCTTATATTTCTCTTCTAATTGAAGAAGTTCCAGACAGTTTTCAGTATTATTGTAAATCCCACTGGCCGTTGATAGATTTCCATATAAATCAAATATCAGCTATCGTCCCTTTGTCCTATTGAACCCTTGATTTGCCCCTTGAGGAACACAGGGATGATTTGTGAGAGCTACGACCGTCTTATAAACGACTACAAAGAAGCTGCTCCCAATAATTTGATGCTCTTGATGATCTTAACAGAATTGTCAAACTACTTTTGCAGAAGTCAAAAAGACTGCCTGTCTGAGTCCTGTCTCAGAGTTTACCTGGTGCCATGTCTTCGGCAATATCAAACGAGTACGTTGTGCGGGAGAACTTGGGCGTGTGGTCGTTGATGTCCTTGACGGTTATGTTCAGCCTCATGTCAGACGACTGCTTCCCGTCGTCAGCGCGCACCAGGAGGGAATATTTTGACCTGCGTTCCCGATCCAGTTTCTTGGTGGCGATCAGATCCCCGGACTCCGGGTCAATCCGGAAACTCTCATCCGCCCCACTGATGATGGTGTAGGTCACAAGAGCATTGGGACCCTGAAGTGAAGACAGAAAATAGATATGATTAGTTGTGGTAAATCGTTAGGGTTAGGGTTGGGGAGCATAGAAACCTAAACCCCAAGAGGATTTACATGTTTACGGCCCAAAATATGTCTTCAGCAGCAAACCAAACTGAAATGGAAATCAATATATACTAGTTAGTTTTCGAGAACATCTCAGGACATACATCTGACACCGGGGCCAGTAGGTTAGATTATTTACCTTCTGAACTGTTTTGAACAGGTTCAAACGTATGTTCTCAGGTCACGTTGAGGAAAAGCTTCATGATTACGAGCATCAAAGCAACTGTATCTGGTCGGAAATCAGATTTCTTACCACGTGTTAGCGTGTCACGTCTCCAGATCAAACTACCTTTTAATCTAGCATGAATGAAACCCTTCACTGTGCGACTCCTTCACAAAGACGGGAAACAGGTTTCAAAAAGACTGTGCACAAGATGGCAAATCAAATCAAACACAAGAAGGAGGGAGAGAAAGTGAATGTAAAGAAATTAGACCTGTGACTCCACACCATGAACATACCAAGAAACTGACACTGGAAATTTCAAGGGTAAAACACAAATTAAGAGGAAAACTTTATGAACGTCCTGGACTAAAGTTATATTGAGCAGTAAAAGTAAATCTGTCAAAGTACATGAGAATCAATTAAAAACACTTTTATCCCACAAGATTTAAGATATTTATTTATATTGGAAAGTATGATAAAAACATGCCTCTAAATTAAGATATTGCTTTGCTTGTCTTCAATCTATCCATCCATCTATAAAGAGACAAGCTTGACTTCACGTAAAGAAGATTTTAGCATAAGTCTGACCAATATGGATTTTGGGGTAAGGGGCCAATAATGAAATATATATTAGGGAGTAGACTTCTTATAACTTCTGATTCATAGGCCAGTATATATTTAATTTTACAAACATATTATCAAACTCTCATGACAAAGAAATATAATTGGTCAGGCTTTAATTTTAGCAGCACAGTAACTCTTATTTCTTTCAACCAAAAACACAGACTACTTGTACACAGCCTAAACCACAGAGTCTATATGTCATGTATCATTGGTCACAGTGGAGAGAGAAAGAAAAAGAAGCTGAATGGTGAGACTCCTCTTCCTCTTTGAACTGTGGGGGGGGGTTGTTCTGTTCCTCTGTAAATGCAGCTAATAGATCCCCTGTTACGCTGCTCAACTACAAGTCCCGTGACACATGTGATGGCTGTAGCATGAGGCCTTGGAAGAGGAAAAGGGGACTGAACGGGATGTGACAACTGAATGAGAGCGATGACAGAGCTTGACATTTATATTTGTGCCGGGAACAATAAGAGATCAGACAACTGTCTGGCTCTCTGTATCTTCTGCCAAAAAGAAGAGGCAACATCAAAAAGCCACTGCTATTCACAGAGATGAAGAGAGAGCTCTGGTTACAGCTGGTTAAAGCTAAAAGAGACTCTTTCAGATACGTCTCATGTGTGTCTGATGCTTTTTGATCCTGCCGGGACAAAGGGAAGGCCGACATAAAGACAGGATTAGGTTGAAATTGAAAGTTTGCATTAAGTTGCTGCTGTATTAATAAAATTAAACAATTGGTGGACAATACTCTCAACTGAAAATCTGTATCGTAATTAAATGATATGCATCCAACGAGGCTAAAGGGTATCAGATGCTGTAAAGTAGCATGTTAGCCGTACATCAACACAAAGAGACATTGTGCTAAATTAGAACGTCAGCATACAGCTGAACTTTGACCATTCAACATCACAGATTTAACCTTTATAGAGTGATACAGTTAATTCAGATGCAAACAGTTTATTACACACACATACAACTGTTGAGTTGTATTAACGGGCTGTGAAAGTTATACAGATAGTTAGGATCCTGCTGGTCGACGATTGAGTGGTGACAGTGGAAATAAACTGCCCAGATTCCATCAATATTCTTTTTCCATTCTTTCTTTAACAGACTGAACCTGGCGGCCTTTGCCAAACGCTTTAGTTGGAGTCAATATCATGAGGCCAAGTTCATGACTCGCTCTTATCTCTTCTCCCGTGGCCTCTTTGCACAACGGATAAAACCTCTGTCTTCTTGACCTTGTCCCTCATTGCATTACCAGAGACCCGGTCTGAGATCCAGGCCCGTTAAAAACAAAAAAAACAGAGGAGGATGGAGCGAGGCTCTGCTCATCTAAGGACCCTGCTGTCATCAATCAGAGGCTCCAGATCTGGCAATCCCATCAGCCACCTGGGCTGCGGTCCGGAACCCAACACCCGCGGTTTGCCAATTAATTTTCTGATGGGGTTCAAAAGCAGAGCAAGGAAGGTGGGAGAGGCCTAGGAGGGGGTCCACAGTCTAACACACACATTTTGAAAATCATTTACACACGACAAAAGTTATACTCTCATTTAAATGCACTCGTGCCTCTTGCTGCTCACTTGACTTTCTTTACATTGAACCAATGCAAGTAATTAAGATCGTACACACACTCACACACCAACACTGGCTGCCCTCTTGACCTCCACTCAAGAGTTTGACTACTTTACAACTCTCCAAAGACACAATGGGTTGTTGGGCGAGAAAAAAATAAAGAGGGCTGACCAATTAAACGGCAGCGTTCCAGGGAGCAGAGTGTACCAGACTGGAGCAGAAGGAAACTCATTTAGCAGATGAGTGGTTTTTGGGAGCATGCAGCTCCTATGAGAAGAGAGAGGTGTGAAGCAGACAGCGCCGGCGGGGATTGCGAGCTTCCTGTATGCTATAGCACAGAGCAAGCCTGGCCAATCATAACACAGACTCCTGAAAGACAAGCAATGTGTTGTCTTTGAGATAAAGTCTTTGAAAGTTAAGAGATGGGCCAATAGGCTGCGACGCTGGTGTGTAAATCTGTTTCACAACTGCAAAACGTGGCCAGAAATATATTTGCAGTAGGTCTGCCGGCCTCTGGAACTCATTACAATTCATTTGGAGGCCATGCTCACTTTCAAAGACCTCTCCTAAAACACCCATTGTTTCACTTTTCTTCATTAAAAAGGTTTTTACCTGTGACATATTTTCCACATAAGGTCAGAATTCCAATAAAACATTCACAGCCTTTCCAAAAGCACAGGAGGCGGCATATTTCTTTCAAATGAGGCGAGAAACATTTTCTGAGAGGCACTGTAGCCTACGTTAGACAAAAGACCAAAGTTTTATATTGATTTCTTTTCAACCCTCGTGCAACCCTTTCCTTCTATTCCGGGTGGAAATGGGTGTAGCAAAAAACGGATGCGTAGAAACAGCATTTTAATACCCTCACACATGAATCCCACATGTAGCACTGTTAAATTGGATGGGATCACTGTGATGTCTGAATTCAGCCCGTCAGCTGGCCAACAGCTTGCACTCTTGGCTACTCTGCACTGGCTCACACATGTGGCTTTCTCAGCAACAGCACCAATGCGTTCCGTACGCTTAGTGTCAGCGCAACTTAAGTTTCCTGCGTAAGGATGTGGGCACAGACTTGGCTGGACTCATATCTGGCTCAGACTAAGAGCTGGAATGAAGTACAGGCTTCTATTTAGCAACCTATTCATGGCAGTGCTGAAGTTTGGAGTAAACATCTCTAGAATCTGTAATTCCTAAAAAGACTCCTCTACATTTGTTTTAACTGTCTGCTGTTTCCTTAACATCTCTGACTGAAGGCAGAGCAGAGACTTCTTTTGTTAAGTCGATTTGGAAGATGCATATGCTTATACTGCATGTGCATGTAAAGATTAACACTTCATTTTCTACAAAAAAGCCTCAAGTTTCATCTCATGCAACAGAGCTCCAGACTCCATGAGGAAAAAGTGACCAACTGCACAGTTTGATTTTAAAACCATATGTTAAACCTTTGCAGGATCAAAGCTGTGAATGCTTTGGTGCAGAAAAAAGAAAAATAATCAAATCGTGTCCCTAAAATTCCTTTAGTGAGAAAGACTGACATGTTTCCAGGTCTGAGATTTACATTCAATACACAATTTTGATAAAAGAGAAGTGGCCAGACGATTTTTCTCACAATCAGAGCGAAGACAAGGGGGTTAGGCAACAGCTGCGCAATAAAAAACGTGCGGCCTCACAAGTTAACATTAAATGTGAGTCCATATTCCTCCTTTCTAATCGCTCTCCCTTCTACAGCCCGACTTTTTCCATTCATTTCAACTGTGTCCTTTGGCATAACGGAGGGACCGCAGCACTCGGAGATGTTGCCAGAGCCTGCGTTTCGCTCACTGCAGGATTTAATGTCCATATCCTGTCTAAAGCAGCTAAAGATGAAGCTCTTAACTAATTGAGAGTGATGCTGGTGATGTAATGTGAACTGTGGGGATTCTGGAGAAGAACTGTCAGAGCTGCAGGACGAAAAATCAATTGCTGGCCACGCTTCTCTGAACTCTGTGACACCAGTGGCCTCAACACATCTCAGATTATGTCAACACACAAGCCAGAAAAGGACAAATCACTCAATTATGTTTATTCTGCCGGAGAGTGTGAGAGCATGCGAGTGTATTTCAGGAGAACGATGTATGAAGATGTTATTTAAAGTGGTTCTCTGTGTGTTTATACGAATACAATCTGCCTTGTACTCTAAAGCACACGATTCTGTAATGTTCTGTAGTGCAGCTCATTTTAAAAATGCTCATCCCAATTTCCGAAGATAGACATTTTCCAAATTTGAAGTTTCGTTCCACAGTGAAATGCCCTAACTGTGTTTTTGCTTAATAAGCAAAATCAATGATTATTCTATTAACAGATTAGTTGTTGATTAGTTTCTGTCAGACAGTAATTGATACATTAAATTACCGTTTCAACCCTATTCTTAAACTACGTGATCCAATAGATTAAACCTAAAACCACACTCTTTACTCTCTCACATCCATTATCAACTCCACCAAGGAGGTTATCATAGTTTTAATGGGCATTTGTTTGTTTGTGTGTTATTTACCAGCATTATACAAACTTAGTGGAAAGATGTGGTATCGGGAAGAGATGACCGGAGTAAATTTTGGTGCGGATCCATGTCAGGGGATCCAGGATTTTTTTCCAACTTTGCAAGATAAGGTATTTTTGGGCGTTTTCTTCAATTTCCCAGAAAATAATTTACATAACTATTTTTGAATGGGGGCTGTTGGGCCCAGGTGGGGGTGTCCGCTCTCTAGTTCAATATATTGCTTTTTAATACAGATTTATCTTGTGCTGTTGACACTGAATCAGTACTAATCCAAATAACGGTCTACAAGTAAGTGAGGTTGGGATCTGCTTTTCAATGCCAATGACGTTTATTAAACCCCATCCAATCATTGGCACAATAAAAACACATTGGCGCACAGTGGCCTCGTTTTATTATTTAGAAAGTTTGAAAAGGTCTAAGGTTGTATAACCAGTAAGAAAATCTTCTGAAAACTCCAATATATCCTCTTAAATTACTGTTATTTCAAATTTTTATAACGTTCAGCTAAATATCTTGAGCTTTTATTTTGGAAAATGTTATTAAAATACATATTTACTGACATATTAAAGTCATAATGGATGCTGTGCTAGTCTCTCCTTCATAATAAATATCACAGGTTTACAAAGGTTCCCCAGAGACAGGCAGCGTTTCCTGCCACGGCTCCTCTGCCATGAATATCTGGATAAGAATGGTCCAACATAAAGAAGCTAAATGTTGATTTAGCTCAATTTCAGCTGCATTAGCCTCATAAAACCATTTGAATCTTTAGTGGTTTCTACACCCTAGGAACAAAAATGTAGAGCATACTTTTAATTCAGATCACTCCCTGGATATCTATTCCGAGAGCAGTGGAGTGGAAAACGGACGCAGGAAAGTACAAAAACACTGTCAGACCAAATAGAAACTTGGGGAGCTATTACCTCGTCTGCATCCGTGGCTGTTAGCTGCATTATCTTGAAGCCATCGCCGACGTTCTCCTCAATGGTCACATCAAGAATATCATTAGGGAAAACAGGCGGGTTGTCGTTGACGTCCTGCAGCGTGATCTCCACCTGCAGAGGAAGAATAAACACCACAGTTTCCGTCAGAGATCTGCCAAACTCAGCCTGCTACAGCTGTTAGGAAGCGAAAAAACAATACATGTCGATCCACTTGGATCTCATATGACGGAGAAGCTGCACGGTGAGTGGAAAGTTATCACAAAAGGCTTGAGAGGAAAATCTGTTAAACGACGAGGTCTCGTATATTGACTTGAAGGTTCAAAAGAATGATGAATTATTGTTTTGTCAGAAGTCATTTATGGAGATCACATAGTTGAAGTCTGCAGGTCAAAGCCAAAACACAGAAACTACGGTTCAAAAAAAGCTAGTTAAGAGTCATTTTCAACATCTGTTAAACTGCATGAAAATGATTATGCAGCTGAGATGTAAATTTAGGAAAAACCGCAACAAGTATGCAAGAAAACCTAATGTTTGCTAGTGTTGGCTACTGCTAACCTTTGCTGCTATTTCTTGTTTCCTAACAATGAATCCAAGTGATGCTCCAACACGTTAGTCATTTAGCTTGTTAACTACATACAGACAGCAGATTTATTATACCAGAGGGAAGTGTTAGCTTAGCAGAGTTGCAGTGGCTAAAGTTAGCTTTAGCTTTGTCTGACCAGTGACATTCACACGGTTTGTCTTTTTCATGTAGTAATTTGTTTTTTTAACTTAACAAAAAAAAATAAAACTTGATAAACTCATCCTGCTAAAAAGTAATTAGCCTAGCCTAGCTTGGTGAAGTAACGGCCATTGCCATATCTGCCTTTAACACCTGAAATCACAAAGGAGCTAACGCTAACTCTAGATAGCTTAATCAAACTTGAAAATGTATCTACTAAACTGTCTCGATAGTTGAAATGAGAAGAAGAAAAAAATAACAGTTGTTGTGTTAGCTGTTGTACCGTAGTGATGGTTGCAACAACATACTAGATTCTATCTTCAGAGCTGTGGGTCTATGGCAGACCTCATATACCCCAGTGTCACTGGAGCTTATGGAAAATGCACAGTTTATAAAAATGACTGGAGGCTCTTTTCCATGGAGACGTACAGTCAGTGTAACAGTAGAGAGAACTAACTGCAGCTCAGGGATTTTCACTTTCATGTCTTAAAAACCAAAATAAACACACATTATACTGTCGACCACAGACCCCCCATGTGGATAAACTTTGTCCAGTGAAGCGCCGATAACTTAAATTTAATACAGGCGCACCAGTGGTGAGAATGAAAACTCGGATTAGATCAATTGTTTGGATAAATTATGAGATTTCCAGTGAGTTAAAGTGACATTTAGCTTTTCTTCTTAATCATGTGGACATTCTACTTCCCTTTTTGTGTTTTTGATTCTTATGGTTTGAATTTCAATTAAGGAACATTTTAATGTCAGATAACACAATATTTTGGACAAATGGTGTTTCTTCCAACTTTAAACAGAATATAGTTTATGACTAAAGACTATACTTATTTGCACTTGAATCGAGGGCGTGCGTCATCCATCAGTTGGACGCTGTTTTATGTCGCAAAACACTGTGACGAATTCCATAGGACATTATAATGTGATTAAACATGTCTGCATAATTTAAATCTAGGTCAAAATGCTTCACATCTTGATTCGATTATTGCGTATTCCAAGTATGACCTTATTCAAGTTAAGGTAATCAGAAAAGGCTTTGCACATGTCAGTGTCTTATTCAGACTATTGTAATAATCAGTTGATATCAGAATATTGACATCCATGAAAACACGTCTACTGTCCTTGTGTGAACTTCAACTTCACAAACACACATATTTAAAAACTCCTACAACAGCACTTGAATAAAAACAACATTATTATAGCAATAGTCTGTACATATAAATATGTTTATTGCTCCAGGGAATCCATGAAACTACATATGGCAGCACAATGGGAATCAGCTACACAAGATCAGCTTTATAAATGTCTTAGGGAAAGTGAGACATTCGTAGTTTCAGATGTTCTGTGTCTGGCGTGGCAATATTACATTTCCACTCATATCCCCCAACTTAAACTCATCCACTAACGCAAATATGCATTTCAAAGCAAGTAAACATGACTCGTTTTGAATCATAACAGACATTTTGCTGCGCATTCTCTGTTTATTGCTTCTATAAATATGGAAAAGCCGTGTTTAAATTCTCCAGTGATAGGATCTCCATTAATGTTGACAGTGATTATGGTAATTCTTGTGCCAGGCGTCAGCAGATGCCCCACCTCTCTTTCACAACCCACTTAAAACACAACTGTGCATTTGTTAGATGAAACAAGAAAATGAGGAAAAGAAAACCTGTCAAAGGTCTGTAATGGACGCAGTTTTTAAAAGCAACAACAGTTTCCCAGCAGGCATCTATATGGAGCAGACAATAGGCTTCAAGGCTGTACGGCCACCAGGGTGGAGGGTCAGATACCAGCAGCCTATTCATACCCTGCTACTGACAGGAAAAGCAGACTCCACGTGTCCCACAAATCTGCTTTGCAACAAACAGAAGCAGGAAACTCCTCGTAACAGCTGCCACTGACTCCTTTAAAGAAAAAGTTCAGTTCATTAAGGATGACCCAGAACAAAAAGCTTGAGGGAGACGTGGTGGAAATGGTGTCACAGTCGTACTGAATAAAATATGCCTCTTACTGTTTGCTACTCGGAGGCCACTGCTGCAGCGGGGCAATGTCACAATTACCAAAAATCTCATCAGCGAACACTCATTCATGTGTGATGCGCTTGTGCCCCTGTAAGGATGTTGTCCACTTATTAAACCGACTCTGAGTTGGTGTCTGTGTGTCTCTGCATGAGTGGAGATAATTACAGAAGAACAAGACAAATTATGTCCTGGGCACCAGCGATGCAGAAGTCGTATAAACAAGCCACAATGACAGCGGCTCTCGACTCAACTTGCGCCTGAGCCGAGGGACCGGGCAGAGTCAACAAACAATGAATATTTATCTCCCGCCCTGTGTGTCCCCTTGATGTGTAAATAATGCAAGGCCCACTTCTGAGGAGTGAACTAATTAGGGTAGAAGTGCAGTTTTGAGAAATAATTACGCCTCACGCTTGCAGTTTGCATAACCAATGCTCCCACGGGACAAAAAAATGTATCAAAGAGCTCTGGTGAAAAATTCATCGGAGGAAGAGGAAGCAAGGTCAGGAGGGGGGAGGCTGCGAGCGGCAGGGAGAGAGGTTTTACTCCCTCTACCTGGATCCAGACGCTGAGGCAGGTGAAACACATTAGTTTACAAGGTATAAGATTGTGTTTCACGAACTACTGTTTCAGGTTGCAGGTGCTGCTAACTGGCTGCCAGGGTTTTATTATTTATGGAGACGGATGAATGATTCACGCGTCAAGTGGTTCCTGAGTGCTGACGATTATGAGACCTCATGTGATGGAAGGTATTTGCCCAGGAGCTTGACCTCAGCAGTGAGAAATTCATCTTGTCCCTAAATTCCCAGAGTGTAGACGATACATGAAGGAATGTCAGGTGGGATAATTTAGACGTCTGAGCACATGTTATGAAATCTGGTTTCTTTTCTCACGAACAGAATTTAAGATTAAATGGCCAGTTCACCTATATAAAAAGAAATAAAATTTTTCTTTCACAGCAGAGAGTCTTGATATTTCTGCAGTGACCCCAATATAATGATGGCAAATAGAAATTCATTTGTGGGGCTAAAAGAGGGGAAATACACTTTAAACATTCAAAAACAACTTGTTTTCCCATAAATAATGTCCCAGTTATTTTGTATAATCTGTAGAACTTGTTTTCCCAAAGATATAATCCCGATGAAATCTGATCATAGAAGATTTGTGGATTGTAGCACCACACACGAAATTCCATTTATCTCCATTGTATAGGGGCAGAGGTGGACTTTTCTAAATTCTTTCTGCAAATGAGTCTTGTTGAGATAATACTCAATAATCAAGCAGCAAAATCAAACAGATGAAGTGTTGAGGATGTTTCTCACATGCAATGGATGTGAAAGAACAATACAAATATCTAAAGTATACGTTGATTCCACCTTCCTTCCTGAATGCTCCAGAAATATTTCAGTTGTTGTCAATGTATCTAACTAAAACAATTTTCTGCTGCACTCTTCAAACTCTGGAAAATGTACAGACTCATCTTTCTGCACACTTTGCGGAGTTAGTCACTGACTCTGACACTCCACATTTACCCAGTGTTTAAAAAACACTTGCTTGTAGAAGTAAAAATAGACTGCAGACATCAAGAGTACAGACCTTCACCTCAAGATCAACAGAATATACCAAAATATGTCTCCCATCCCACCACTGAAATCCAAAGTGAGGAGAAACCAGAGTTGCGGTTACAGCTGAAGGCAAAAAGCTTCACCTGTATCACCGAGAGCAAACAACCTTTGCCATTTTACCCACATCTGAACAGTGGAAGTAGCACTGGTTTTCATGTTTCCTACTCTGAAACGTCTCATACTTGTTGTCCTGCCAAATACTCTGCAGTCAGTCAGACAGAGGGGGGGGGAACTCACTGCAGGAGCAGGAGATGTATTATTTGAGCACAATCCCGTGTAGGCTGTGCACATATTTTGTCAGTTACCGACTCAGTTGTTTTTAATAACCGGTAGAGAGTAGAGATTAATTAAGTGAGCGATGGTTTGCATTACGGATGAGTAATACGGTGCATGCTGACTCCATTGAACACCGTGAGCCTCCGAGCGAGAAGGGTAAAAATCACATCATTAGCGCTGACATTTTTTTCTTCCCAAACCAGACCTTGCAGAACAAAAAAAAAAAGCGACCTCTGAGTGCAACTGATGCAACAGTTGGCCTGTAAAAGCTGAGCTCATCTGATCGTAAAAACTGGAGCAGGGTGCGCCTCCTGCAGGAAACAATCATTTCAAAATGATTAAATGTCTCATTAGATGCTGTTGACGAGTCGGGGTCAAGGGCTGAGGGGGAAGCGCAGACTTCCAGCTCTCGTTATACTCGGCCGCTGAGATTGAACGATTCCACTTTGCATCATCCGTTTTCACTGATGTGCTCCTGCGCTCGGAGTTGGACCTGATTTGTTAAATAAAAATGGGATTACGAATCAATTCCAAATATAACACTTCATCACTGAATCAGAGCCAGAGTTATATGCTGTTAAAAGTAATGACCCAGGTTTTGGCAAAGTACAAACAGTTAAATAGCACAAAGAAATTGTTGTAATGCCGTAAAAGAGAGTCAGCAACAAAATCCTTTGAAACATGCTGATTCCATTGAAGTGTGATGAATAAATAACCCAAACCAATCTAATCAGAGGTATATTTGAATAATGCAGTGTTTGTAAACGCTGATATGACGGTTATCTAAGGTGATCTGATGCCTCTGCTTTGTTTGAGACTGAGGAGAGTGGAAGGCTGGTGCAGCTTGGGCTGGTTAGCAAAATATTCCAACAGAGGCAGAAAAATACAAAGAATCCAGCTGCTGCATTTCCCAAAAGGAGCAGGAGAGTCATCGCAGAGCCTTCTCATATTCAGACGGAGAGGGTACATCCCCCTCCAACCGCTGACTGCGAAACCTTCAAGAAACCGCACCCATGCAGGTCAGTGAGGACGTCCTTACTGCTTCAACACAAGGATCAAACTTCCAGGGGATTCTG